CACACACACACACACAGGAACAGAGACAAGATCTAAACAATGGGATAAATTAAGACAGAATATTTTAAGACCCATGCAAGCTTCTCCACGCCCAGAGGCAGAACTCAGGCAGCAAGGTTGTACAGCCCCCATGTTTGGCATGCTCGTCTGTCACATGTTCACAGTTAGATAAAGTTACCCAAAGACACTTGACTGAGATCAGATGTTTGTCCAAAGGAAGAACACAACCGTGTTTTCACCATAAAAGTATAGCACACATTGGAAACAACATTCTAGCAACAACTTAAGGTAATGTGACAAAATGATCTTAACTCATAGTACAAGCTTTTTCCAGAGCCGTCAACCACATCTCATAGCTCATATCACATCTCATAAGATAATATTGATGAGTATTCAATATTATGATTTATTTTGCAGCGTTTTGCTGCATTTTTCAGCAATTGTTGGTGTGTTCTTTATACAATGAATTTTTCCTAAATTACAAAATAAAAAAATTACAATATATCACATTGTTTACAATAAAACCTCTGTATAGTGATACATATTGTCAGATTTTTTCCAATACAGAAGAAGAAGAAGAATCACCCACAGAAGTCTTCACCATCAGATACGGTTGAAAGCTTGCACAAAAGGAAGACCATTTTGTCCAATTACAATTCTCAAGTTGAGCTGGAAGATAAATTATTGAGCTTGTAAATAGCAGTTTGCAGCCATATCTCGTAGTCTTCGATTGAGCTGCTGATCAGGCGGCAGGATTTGGCTGAAAGCTAGGGTGAAACCGAGTAAGTGGACCTGATAACTGAGAGACAAACGGCTCTTCACAAGGTAAAGAATGAGCCATCACACTCAGACTAACGGTTAGTTTAGGACTAATGATTTGTGCAAGGCTAAATGAGAAAAGCTAGAAATGAAGAAAACGTGTGAAGAGTTCAGAGTCCCTGGAGTTAAAAGTCACCACTCTTACTTTTGACTGCTATTTAAATCTTATACTAGGTCTTTTCCATATAAATTCTCTATGATTCCTATCAGTATCAGTAACATTGTAGTCACTGAGGTAATTGCTGAGATGTGCAAAAGGGCAAGGAACACGAGCAGTCAGTCAGTCTTTAAGCTAGAACACTGCCTGGTCCAAGATTTTCTGTGGTCATTTGAATGAGGATGCAGCTGGTAACTTTTGTAAAAATAACTTGCTGAAACTTTCACTATATCCTGACAGTAGTACACAGACATGATAATCTGTGCAAAAAAAACAGTGTTAGCTGACTACTGTTTATGGATATAGTGAAAGATTTCAGCAAATATGAACAAAAGTTATTTTTATAAAAGTTACTACTGCAGCTTTAAATCACTGATTTGGTAATAGGCAACATATAAGCATAAAACAGAGATAATGAAAGTCTTAAACTGCAAGATAGGGCTTCAAGATTAAGGACAAAAGCTGGAGTTGCTGTAAAGCACTTTCTTGACTCGTTCTCAATTACCTCTGTGAGTACAGCGTTATTACTGATTGGAGGGTTATAACTATGAAAATAAACTGGAACTAAAGTGAAAATAAAACTACATTTTCATTTAAGACACCATGCTCTATTTGTGAAATTTAGTGAATGCAAGCAGTAGTATTTAGTTTTTACTGTCAGGTTCCAACAGATTTCTGTGTGCATGCCAGTAGTAATGTGTTTTGTCTCCACATGCTGATCTTAGATCAGGCACTGAGGGTAACTTCTGACCTGAAGGCGTATTCACAGTTCACTTTCTATCTAGTCAACACTGCATTAATTCAAGCAAGCATGGCTGAGAATGAATAGATGTAGTATGAAGACAAGTAATAGAAACCTTTGTCAGCCCTCGTGGCAACTTGATGTAGTTCTATGCGTACAAAGTAGGTGGACAGTCAATGTCTTTCACAAAGAACCTATGAACCTATTCAGTAATGGTAAAAAAATCTGATTAAATATTGGTCTTGTTACCAATATCGCTTTGAAAAAACATCAATATAAAGAAAGCAATCTCAGCAGTGCACACTCACGCTCGCTATTTTCTCTCTCATCCTCTCAGAGAAGTAGTGGTTGTTGTACATGGTGATGTAGTGTAGTGTTTTAGCAGTGTTTCCTCCTCAGAACATGGTGCACCTCTTTCCCCTCTTCTTCACGGGCGGAGGGCAGAGCACGGCTCGGATGGCTTCGTCGAATACCGTCTTCAGGCCTCGCTGAGTCAATGCAGAGCATTCCAGGTACTTCACGGCCCCTGAGGAAGGGAGAGGGCATGATGGGAAAAAGATTTAAGCAAGGTTCAAATGAAGATGGTTCAAAACGGATTTGTTTCCACCTTAGGGCATTAGGATGCTTCAAATAAAGTGCTTTAAGTCCTTTAACAACACCTGTAACATACATAGTATGACTCTTCCTTTGTCCCACCTACGCGGCAACCTCTGTGGCTGCATTTAAGCCAACATGGAAGTAAAAAAAAATTGCAGTTCCTCAAACAGCCACTTCAGGCTGGCTACAGAAGTGAGTCAATCTCCATAAGGCCCCATATTAATATGCCCAACTTTACAGCAGAAATATTTTTTTCTATATAACTCACCTGTTTAAATTATATTCCTGCTTAAAGTTATGTATAATTGAAGGTGTGGCTGCTTTGTGTAACAGGTGGGTGCTGTCATAAGCGGTTGTATTGAGTAACCAGGCTTCATTCAGCCCGCCTCAGCTCCACCTCTTTGCCCACTTTTGGATTAGCAAGGACTTCAAAGATGGCAACGGCCATAGCCGACCACACCAAGCTTCACAATGGCTCTGCAGGAACCTTTGGGTGATGTCACGGTGACTACGTCCATTTTTTAATAATACACAATTCTATGGATACAACATCTTAATTGGTGAACCTTAGAGGTGTTGGCAGGTGTATTTTTGAATTTTGGATGGAGCCAGGCTAGATGATCTTTTTTTTAACAATTTCTTGAAGACTTTGAGGGCTCTTTAGTTCATCATTCATACCTCAATAAGAAATAAGCAAAGTGAAAAATTGAAAATGTACTGCAGCAAATTTCTGTGCACGTGGCACACACAGCCTCACCAATCTCTCTTGCCATGGCCAAGCCCTGTGGGTAGGTGATGGGGGACAGCTTCTTGTCCCGCAGTCTCTCAATGGTGTCCTTGTCATCTCGCAGATCCAGCTTGGTGCCCACCAGGATGATGGGTGTGTTGGGGCAGTGGTGTCTCACCTCAGGGTACCACTGGTGCACCACACGCACACAAACACACGTACATATGCATATACAAAGGAAAAGTCAGTGCGAGAGGAGAGAGAGAGAGCAGTTAGCTGGATGCAGAGGCAGCGCAATGAGCGCCTTTACACGATGACACTGAACACACTCTGTGAGTTGTGGAAATAAAATAAAAAATCTGTCTGAATGGAAGCACAGTTGTATGAACACAAACCATCCTCAGGCAAAGTAACCTCCAATCACATCACATGATGAGAGAATTCCGTCAGACCAAAGCATACAGACTTTGCAGAGGGAGGGTGGACCTTCAGGAAAGTATGATTTGATGTGAGAGCATCTCATGATGCTCAGCAGACCAAACCACAGCCGACCGCTACGCTCCCTCTGCAGAGCGCTTGGACTCGTTCGGACCTCGCCTTACAACACGTCTCTGTACTGCATCCACTGAAGGGGATCAGTTTAAACCCGGACTGTTCTAAGCCGAGGTCTGAGCGGGTGGGGCAGCAGTGTGATAAGCCAGGCGGAGCCATAGATGTGCCTCCTTGTGGTCAGACTCGGCATGGAGGGGGAGAAAGGGAGGGAAGGGGGGTCAGTCAGCGTACTGACCTTAGCTCGGACGTTCTCAAAGGAGGCCGGACTGACCAGGGAGAAGCATATCAAGAACACATCCTGGGAGAGAACCAGAGAGATGGCTAGTTGAGAGCGAGATCTGTATGCGTGTGAGGGAGTGTGTGATATTTTGAACTAAGGTCTATTTTTATTAAAAGCGTTCTTTATGAGAGAACTAACAAAATTAGTGACAAATTGATTAGATTGATTGATTTAATTGATTGACTCAAGCTACTTAGAAAAAGTAGATCAAACTACTTTAAAGAAAAAAGATCAAATTGACAATGTACATCTGATATGAAATTATTATATATCATTATTATTATTATCATTATTTAAACAAAATATAAAACAAAATATAAAACAAAAAAGTCACCCAATTAAGTTGATTGCAAACAGTACCCACTTGTTCACAGGCCATACCAAACCAAGTCCAAAACAAACCAGGTTTTGTGGGGGAAGCAAGTCAGTAGTTGTTTCCATCAACATATTTTATTTTTATGCTCATTTTGTAATATTAAATTAGGAAAGGTTGATGAAAATTAGGGCTGCACAATCAAAATATGATCAAAATCACAATATATAAGCTCAATATGCCAATCGCAGAAGCTGCAATGTTTTGATAAAAGTAAAACGTGTAGAAAGTACAGATATTTATGCAAAAATGGAAGGAGTAAAAGTAGTTAGTTAAATAAATACTCAAATAAAGTACAGAAAAACTAGTCAAGTACAGTAATGAAGTATAGTAGTACTTCATTCCTTCCCACTGACTTTAATTGCATGTAGTTCACAACTCCCCAACACTGAATATAAAAAAACATGTAGGTATGACTT